ATATGGTTAACCATCTCACCAAAAGTAACTCTGGGTAGCATACAGCAAAACAGTAAACATATTTAGACTTTTAGATATCCTGTTGTCAAGTGAATCACCACAGTTGTTAAAATGATTATTTAGTGAATCTAGCTTCCCCAATGATTTTGTTCGTCAGAATGTCGCAAAAGTTGATTACACGGCCATGAAAAACTTATTTATTTAAATCAAATTTATATGGTTACCCATCTCACCAAAAATAACTCTGGGTAGCATACAGAAAAACAGTTAAACACACTTAGATTTTTAGATGTACATTTTAAACAATTTTTAAGAAACATATTACTAAAATATCTAAAAAGCTATAGACCTTTAGAGCTTATCTTCCTTTGGTGTTAATTAGCATTTGTTTCAATGGTAAAATGAGCCAAGTCTACAATATGTTTCTCTGTCTGGATTTACATGTCAAGCCCGTGGGCTTAGGAAACTACACATGACATTCATGCATGAAAGGAGTTAGTCATTGGCCCCTGTTCTCTCTAACCTTTTAGCTTTGCAGCCTATGCACACGTGCCACAATTGGCACATTTCACTTGTGGAGATGGGCAGCTACAGAAATCAAATAAATAAGTAAATAAATACAATTGTGGCTTTTTGGTTATAGCCAGTCACGAATGTTTCTGCACAGGTATGCATGGATCCTGAAGCCTCCCCCGCCAACACTTATAGGCCACGCTGCAAATTCTGGGAACTGAAGTTACTTCACATCTCAGTAGGGAAGGTTTTATTTCCCGCACAGCATTTCTGATGCAAGGCAAACCAAATTCTGGTTTTTGCTCCTGTTGCCAATTTTGGACCTTTAATAGCTTGTTAGTGGATGGCAGGCAGAGACTGTAGATCAATGGACTCGGTATATGCTGAGAACAGCCAAAACTACTGGGAAATTCATCATTGAATTGGTTGCCATAGAAATGTCTAGTTTCAACATTCCCTCCCCCTCCCCATTTCTCCATCTTTTCAGCGGAGATTTCCCAATAGTAAGTATACGTAGCAAGTATGCGTTATTGGTGACGTCTGGCTGGGGCTATCTTGCAACGGGATAAAAGGGACTCTTTTGTGCAAACTGGTATGTGTGTGTGCATGTATGTGTGTGGTTTATGTGCACATCAAGATGAAGCAGAGAGAAAAAAAACAGTCCCTTGAAGAGGTGGGAGCTTGAATGAAGAGGGGCTGGTTTACAGGTCTGATATGACATTTAGCAAGAATTGACTTGCACTGTGAGAAGAATGCACTAAATAAAAGAGCACTTTGTTCTTCTTGGTGGTGCAAGAAGACGTAAATCATTGGTACGTATCATGGGTTATTAAATTATTCTGGCTTTTGTATGTATTTTCCTAAGAACACCCTTGTCCTTTTTTTTTTGGGAACGGCAGAGCAATGGATTTCCAATCATAATAGACTTCCGGGGCTGCAACTGTAAATGAAGCCCAGCTTGAGGTAGTAAATACTTCACCTGTTGAATTTTTGCTTCTGTGGCTGTTGCATGTATAGGCACAATACTGAAGAGGACAGGATTGGCAGCCCTATGAAAAAGGAGTTAAACTTAACCAGGGCACAGTTTGGGGATATAAAAAAGGAAAGGCAGACTGTGTAATTAATCCATGAGTGTCCAACATTTTGGCTTGCCTGATTCACTTTCAATGAACAGGGATTGTCATGGGCTGCATATAAAATACATAATATAGCTAACGTACATAAATAACAATGTCTTTACTTTTTAATATTTTTCATTATAACATTATGGAGGGCCACATTACTAGCTGTCCAGAACTGCATGTGCAGGTTGGACATGCCTGATGTAATCTAAATCATATCCGGCATGTTCAACCTACATAGTGGAAACTAATCAAGGAGAGAAGCAACTTAGAACTAAGGAGAAATTTCCTGACAGTTAGAACAATTAATCAGTGGAACAACTTGCCTCCAGAGAGGTTTTGAATGCTCCAACACTGGAAGTTTTAAAGAAGATGTTGGATAACCATTTGTCTGAAGTGGCGTAGGATTTCCTGCCTAAGCAGGGGGTTGGACTAGAAGACCTTCAAGATCCCTTCAAACTCTGGTTTCTATTCTATTCTATTCTATATTGTTTTCCGCCAAGGTTTATACCATTCCTGCCCCCTTATTCCTGCCCCACTTACTTAGCCTTACTCCTGCACTAAAATGTTTCTGCTCCTATGTAACCAAAGTGTTTATAGATCCTTTCCAGCAAAATGAGAAACTGAGATTTCCCATCGGAGTCCAGCTTCTCCTCTCAAAATATGCCCTAATGCTCAGGTTTCCAGGAAGGCATAAGTCCTTCCTGATATGCATTAAAAAAAAAACAACGTGATGAATAGAAATGCATTTTTACTGGTGTGCTTGCATAGGTTTGTCTGAACAACCTATCAGTAGATTTGCATTGTTCATTCAGAATTTAATGTTGTACTGTTTAATGTTGAAGGGTTTCCTACCACAGTAAGAACAGAGATTCTGGCTTGTTCAGTATCAGTTTTCAATTGTGGCTAGGTGGGTATCCCAAAGAAGCTGACTTCTCCAGCCATGTGTCTTCAGATTTTCTTGCCTGCAATACCCATGATCCTGAGCCAGGATGAACATTCTTACAGTAACAGGACATAATTGTACAGATAGTCCTCGCATATAAGCATTTGTTTAGTGATTGTTTGAAATTACAACAACACTGAAAAAGGTGACTTATCAATACTGCATAAGGAAAACCTATATAAGATGTTTTATAGGTGGCACCTTCCGCCCACAAGAATCGCCAAAATGTTTAGAAATTCATTGCCAAATTGCTGGAAATGTGACCAAGAACCAGGCATGTACTACCATATGTGGTGGTCATGCCAAAAAGCCAAAATATACTAGCAGAATATTCAAAAGTGGTTGATAGAGATAACCGAAGAGGAAATAGAATTCACACTGGAACTATTTCTCTTGGAAATTATAAACAAGAAATACAACAAGAGGGTTTATCTTTTTAACTATTCATATTATCATCGCAGCAAGAATGGTCTTTGCCCAAAATTGGATAAAACAGGGAAACTCCACATGAAGGGGAAATAATTAGGAAAATCTTGATCTGCGCTGAAATGGATAAATGGATGTGAGAATTGAAGAATAAAGATGAATCAGAATATTATAAGATCTGGGATAAATTTTATCGATGGTTGGAATATAAAAAGGAAAGCTGAAAATAGACATGAGCAAGATTCATAGAATGGAGACTAAAATTATGTATGAAATGATAAATGCAAGAAAGTACAAGATAAACACAAACCAACACGGCTGGAAATAGGTTACTTTTTTCCTTTTTGTAAATATGATATGGATCAAATGTTAAAAAAACAGGGTGGCCACAATGTATAACTGAATATCTTACCATGTATGGCATAGATTCTGCCAGGACGGTTTATACTGTGTCCAATGTTTTAATTTACGTTTAATAAAAACCTTGTTAATAAAAAAAGTGACTTATGATCATTACAGCATCCCCAAGGTCCCTTGATCAAAATTTGGTCGCTTGGCAACTGCCTCATATTTATAACGGTTGCGATGTCCCAGGTTGCATGTGATCACCTTTTGCGATCTTCTGACAAGCAGTCAATGGGGATGCCAGGCTCACTTAACAATTGTGTTACTAACTTAACAATTGCAGCAATTCACTTAACAGCTGTGGCAAGAAAGTTTGTAAAATGGTGCAAACTCACTCAACCATTCTCTTGAATAGCAACATAAATTTTGGGCTGGATTGTGATCGTAAATCGAGGACTACCAGTAGCCTAACCTAATAAGAAAGATTTTCCATTGGGAAATGATTTTTCATTGGGGAAAATCTTTCCCTGTGATTTCCTCTTATACTGGTTGCTCTGAAACACTGTTGCTGAACATGAAAAGCTCCGGTGGCTTTCTAAGGTAGAGAAGCAATAGATCCCAATCCAAACTCTTAATGTGACAGAACCTGCACCAGGAGGAACAGTAGTGGGAGTTTTGACAACCTTGAACTTCTCCAGAGATAGGCCAGCATCCAGAGATTGTGTAGTCCTAAACTGGATGGGGGAAAGGGGAAGAGCTTCTGGGTAGGCACATCTTAGAATATTTCATGACATATCATAAAAAGGGTGTCAAACTTGATTTCTTTGAGGGTTGCATTAGGGTTGTGTTTGACCTCGGGGTGTCTGTGTGGCCAGAAGGACGTCACTAGTGTCGGGGTACCTGTGGTGGCCTGGGCGGGGATGGGGTATCCATTGTCCTACCAGCAGGGGTGAAATCCGGCAGGTTCTGACAGGTTCTGGAGAACCGGTAGCGGAAATTTTGAGTAATCCAGAGAACGGGCAAATGCCACCTCTAGCCGGCTCCAGAATAGGGTGAGAATGGAGATTTTGCAGTATCCTTCCCCTGCCACACCACCAAGCCATACTCACCAAACCACACCACGCTCACCAAGCCACGCCCACAGAACCGGTAGTAAAAAAATTGAATTTCGTCATTGCCTACCCGGCTCCATTTTCATCTGTGATGGCCTCCTCCAGCCCTCTGCCAACGAAAACGGACCCCAGGAGGACCACAGGTGCCCCTCCTGAACTCCATTTTCGCTGTCAAGAGGCACCACAGGCCGACCCTTCACTGTTTCCAGGGCAGCTCCATGGGCCAGATCTAAGCACCTCATGGGCCGAATCCAGCCCACACGCCTTGAGTTTGATACCCCTGATCTAGTAGGTTCAAAAGTTATTGCTTTAGCTTGGCAAGATTCTGTTCGCCAGATGAACTTGATTGGGTTTTGCTGTGTCTTCTCTGGCCTTGGACCTGACATTTCTGTGAATCAGAGGAAAGGAAAGGCGGGACCCTCCCAGGAGAGAAAGGGAAGGGCATCCAAGTCTCTTTTCAATGCATCTCGGCTCAATTGAAAGATGCTGGTTCCAAAAGCACTCAGCGATTCACCATCTGTACTTCTCTCTTCACAGACAAGCTGTTTGGGAAACGTCTGCTGCAGGCTGGGCGTTACATCATGTCCAATAAATCGTGGATGAAAACGGTCCCCACAGAAAACTGCGATGTGCTGATGACTCTGGCAGGTGTGTAAGGTCAGAGAGGTGGTTGCCGTTGATTCTCTCCAAATGAAATTAGAATTGTGATTTTAATTTTCCTCTCTCTGCCACTTTCCCTGAAAAACGTCCGCAGTTTACATTCTGAACCAGTCTAGTCTTGATTGCTGAAGTATAGTAGCTGAAGGTAAATTTTGTAGGATGTGGTGGCTTTCAGGTGTTGGGTCTTCTATTCTCAGAATTCACAGTAACCAGATTAGAGTTGGATTCAAATGATCAAGTGTAGACTTGATCATATTATAATTTTATGTATTATAATATTATAATCCCCCCCCCAGCTGCCGTTTGTATGTTTTTTTTAAACATGGTTAGTCATCCAGGGCTGTACATTTAGATAAGTCTCATCAACAAATGCACCAAAGTAATTGCTTTGAACTTAATAAGTTGAATGGACCCATCCAATTTCAAGTCTTTCATAAAACCGTGGCACGACAAAACCGCGAAGCCCTTATCCGCAGAGACATAAGCGCGTTGCTAAAGCCGTGACGTCATCACCGCCACGACAACAGCGCGGCAACAGAAGGGCGCTTTAAAATGGCGCCGCGGCAGAAAGACGATTTCAATTAAGGTAAGAGTTAGGATTAGGTTTAGGGGTTTGTTTTAGGGTTAGGTTTAGGGTTAGGGTTAGGTTTAGGGTTAGGGTTAGGGTTAGGGTACTGAGTGCTTGGGAATGCGCGGATTTGCCCTCTGCGATTATGTCATTGCGGTAGGGTCGCGTTTTTCCTTAGCGCTTAGAACGGCGCGAATTAGTCTTCGCGCTTATGTCTCCGCGGATAAGGGCTTCGCGGATTTGTGGTGGAACCCATAAAACATTCATAACTTGGTGAACCATCCAATGGCCAAAGTTTGTGCAATATGGCTGGTTGAATCTTTACTCCTGTAAGGTAAACGTTCCCCTCGCACATATGTGCTAGTCATTCCTGACTCTAGGGGGTAGTGCTTATCTCAGTTTCAAAGCCAAAGACCCAGTGCTGTCCTAAGATGTCTCCATTGTCATGTGGCCAGCATGACTAAACACCAAAGGCTCACGGAACGCTGCTTCCTTCCCACCAAAGGTTGTCCCTATTTTTCTACTTGCATTTTTACATGCTTTCGAACTGCTAGGTTGGCAGAAGCTGGGACAAGTAACGGGAGCTCACTAGGGATTCAAACTGCCAAATTGCTGACCTTAGTCACTGAGCCACCGTGTCTCTATTCCTTACTCCCGAGGAAAAGATTTATCTAGGGCTCTGTCACCTGACAGAATGAAATGACTAAACTCCAATTTGCTTTGGCCTGACATTCCTTGCTTGCTGTTGCTTCCTCCAAAGTTTATAGCTTTAAAAAAAAGGTATAATGTGCCTATCTGAGAATAGATACCCATTATATGGGAGGAGGGCCTCAGCCAAAATACTAATCCAGGAGAATTTTATTCAATGTATCTCATGACCAGCATTTGTTTTGAATAAAAGAAATAAGGTAGACAAGTAAGAGACATCAAAACTACCATATTTTTAGGAGGATAAGACACACCTTTTTCCCCTCAAAAAAGAGGGTGGAGATCAGTGTATAAGATCTATGTCTTATACCCTGAATACAGCATTTTTGGCCTACCAAAACCCCGCCCCTTTTGCAGAAATGGACGTGCAGGGGGTTTGGGAGTCTTGCAAAGTGCTCCTGGGGGCTGGAGAGGAGGAAAAAGCAAAAAATGGGTCTCCCCTCCCCCCGACCCCAAGAGCACTCTACAAGCCTCCCAAAGCCTCTGCATGCCCTCCCCCTTTTTTTTGCAAAAAAAGGCCATTTTTGAGAAAAAAGGGCCAATTTTTTGCTTGTTTTTGCCCCCCCCCCCCATCTTCAGTAGCACTCTAGGAGCAGTGGTGGGTTTCAAAAATTGTTCGAACCTACTCTGTGGGTGGGGCCTCCTTTGTGGGAGTGGCTTGCCGCCCATGTGACCGGATATGAAG